GGAGGATTTTATTTAGGGACGATTTTAAGTATAATTTTAATTGGAACACAGCTTCGAATATTTGGTTTTAATTTGGTTTTAGAGGGGTTTTTATTTTTATTGATATGTATATCTGTTTTAATATGCTGTGCACCGCCCTGAGTCCTGCGGGAGAAGGGCGGTATAGAAATTAAAATAATAATAATAATAATAATAATTATTATTTTAAAATCTTTGTAGCTGTTAATGTTACTTAAAAACAACTTCAGTAAAGTATATTGCCCAATATCATCTTTTGTTCCAAAATATTACAAATAAAGTACATTACTCTAGAAAGAGTACAGAGAAGAGCAACAAGGATGATTAGGAGACTGGAGGCTAAAACACATAAGGAACGGTTGCTGGAATTGGGTATGTCTAGTTTAATAAAGAGAAGGACGAGGAGTGACATGATAGCAGTGTTCCAATATCTCAGGGGCTGCCACAAAGAAGAGGGAATCAAGCTATTCTCCAAAGCACCTGAAGGCAGGACAAGAAGCAACGGGTGGAAACTAACCAAAGAGAGAAGCAACCTAGAACTAAGGAGAAATTTCCTGGCAGTTAGAACAATTAATCAGTTGAACAACCTGCCTCCAGAAGCTGTGAATGCTCCAACACTGAAAGTTTTTAAGAAGAGACTGGACAACCATTTGTCTGAAATGGTATAGGGTTACCTGCCTGAGCAGGGGGTTGGATTAGATGACCTCCAAGGTCCCTTCTAACATTATTATTATTGTTGTTGTTGTTGTTGTTTACAATATCATTCATTCCTTTCTTTCTGTTCCTAAGATGTATCACTTCTGTGTTTCCTATTTCAATATACTTTGCTATATTTTATCATTCCTGGCGCTCACTTCTGTATAATTCCAATCCCATTGCTACATTTGCTAAAAATGTTTTGCTTACCGTTCCTTTGATGCATAGTGATTAAAGTGGTGGATAAGAAACAGGATATCATGAGTTCTAGTCCCCCTTATATATGAGTTTGAAAACCAGCTAGGAGACTTTGGGCCAGTTACCCTCCCCCAGCCCAATCCACTTCACAGTTGTGAGGAAAATGTCTATGGAGATACCTAATCATCTATGTCACGGTTGTCCCAAAGGTGCTTTTTTCAAAAACCAACTGGACTTTCTTTGTTTTTACTTGAAGATATTTTGCTTCTCACCCAAGAAACTTCTTCAGTTCTGAATTGAAGAAGCTCCTTGGATGAGAAGCAAAAAGGATTTCAAGGATAAACAAAGAAACTCCAATTGCCATTTGAGAGAGCATCTTTGAGACAGTTGTGAGGAAAATAAACCACCCTGGGTTGTTCAAAATAAAGATGGGATATCTAATATAATAACAGTATAATAACAATAATAGTAGTAATAATAACTTTTTCAGCAAATGGCAACTGCAGAAGGGCTGGTGAAACGAAGTGGAGGGCTGGAAAGACCCTTTGTTCTTACCCGCTCTTTCTTTGCTGGATCGCAGAAGTATGGTAAGTGTCGAGAAAGATTGATTTTTATCTGGTATTGCTCCTTTAAAAGCCAGTTGCACAAAAGACAAAGGCATGCTTTGCCAGTGCTCACTGTCATTCAGATTCCCATACAGCCATTAACCCAGTGGTTCTTAAACCATGGTTGGTTATTTGCCAATGTGTCAGAGGATCAGATGATTTGAAAGAAAACATAAAAATATGAGGATCTCCATCCTGCTGGACTTCTTTAAAGAAAAAAACTGAAAGAAATTCTACTTTTCTGCTCAGTAAACTTTTCAATTTTTTTTCATCTTACTGAGGCAGAGGTAGAAAAAAACTCTTATTATTTGGGAATAAAAGAATCTCAGAAATATAGGAGATGGGATTTAGCACAGTTCTAATTTGGAAAGCCTACCGGGAACCAGATACAGCTTGCTTAAAGGACATATTCAACCTGAGCTTTGGGATTTAATCATTTCTAGGTTACTCAGTGGTTTGAACAATTGTATGCTTGAAAGTAAAAGAGATGCAAGCATATGTGTTTAATTGTGCACATATTCCCCTTAATTCTACTATAATCCACAGTTAAATCAGAATGACCTCCAAGGAATTATAGTTAATCAGATTTAGAACAATTTAGGCCAGTGGTGGCGAACCTATGCCACGCGTGCCAGAGGCGGTACTCAAAGCCCTCTCTGTGGGCATGCATGCCGTTGCCCCAGCAGAGTTCACCAGAGTAGCAAGCACATGGCGTTTGGAAATGACAGGGCAGGAAGTGGGCGAGCAAGTGGCGTTGGCCCCCCGGGGATGTCCCAGAGATGGCGAGGGACTGGCCCCTGCCGCACTGGCCCCAGCCACGCTCACCAAGTTTGCTGTGACTACTTCAGCCATGCCCACCCAGTGGGCAATGCCCCCCACCCCCCCTGAGGGCATAACAATGCTGATGCAGCCCTGGCACTTTGCTATAAATAAGTGGGTTTGGGGTTGCAGTTTGGGCACTCGGTCTCTAAAAGGTTCGCCATCACTGATTTAGGCTGTTAAACTGAAATGTGGATTTATTTCAGCTGCTGGCTTGATAATTAGAGTCCAAACGAGATCCATACCATTCTGTTCGCTTATTTCTGAAGAGTATTGGTAACCTTCATTTTATAAAATCACCTTTTTTAATAAAATGCAATGATAAATAAATCATACTCTCTGTTCTCCCAGTCATGACAGTCATGCTATGTGAGACATTTGTAAGATGTTGAATTTGAAATGTGAAGACAAGCAAAGCACCTGACATGTTGACATATGAAGAGTACAACAAAGGCTTTGCTGTTGTACTTTAGCCTCTTTTTACATGGCAAATTATTTTTTTAAATAAAAATATTATCTATTCTGGACCTTAATTATTATAAGCAGCCTAGAGCCATCTCTAGGTGAGAATGGGCATATATAAATTGAATAAATACATGAATTAACTAAAAAAGAAGTAAATAATGAAAATTATAAAAAAAAAACAATGAGCAATAAATTCCAACTTTTAGAATGGCCAGATTTTTAAGACAGTGAAAATCACTTAGTTATAGAGGCATCTACAGGACCTTATGAAGTGCAAATTCCATTATTTCATCTTATTTGTGCTGTATCACACATACAAAAGAGGTAGAATTTGTGTCATATTGGCACAGCACTGCTTTTGTCATTAGGTACACAAAGATGCCTCTGCTTAATTATATTCCAAAATATAGTTACAGCCTTAAAGACATATGTGAATGCATAGCACATTACACGGAATATGTGTTAAAAATCAAACCATAAAGATCTGTGGAATACAGCTCTTCTTAAATCAGAAACAGTATTGTAAGTAACTTAGGCTTTTGCAATTGTGTTCATTCATGGCAGTACACAATTTCCAGTGAGTCATTAACTTTGTAAGTCCAGCAACATATATTTGTAGTGACATAAAGTATGATATATTCAATTCAATTGGCCTTATAGCTAAATACAGATAGGGTTAAGATTTTGCCATGTTGTCTTCAGGTGCAGTGTGGACTGGAGACAACACAGCAGATTGGAGTTACTTGAAAATCTCCATTCCAATGTTGCTGACAATCAGCATTGCGGGAATTTCTTTCTGTGGTGGTAAGATATATATATTTCTTTCTCATTTCCATTTAACTGGGCTTCCTTTCCTCTTGCAGAAAGTATATTATGTTCCATTAAGACAAAATAAAAAATAGTAAGAGAAGCTTCTGAAGTCTTAAACAGACTCAGATACTTCAAAAGTCATTTGTTTTTAATTAAAACATTTATCCATGCGGTGCACAATCAAGAATAATTCACTTTAATAATGCAAAATTATATTTAACCTGCTGCAGTGCTTAGGTAAGAAAGGATTACAACATCAGTACCAAGTGGGCTTTTATAGGGATGCTATTCATATCATGAGCTGTAAACTATTCTTAAGAAGGGATCCATTCATTAGGAGCCTAATGAATATTACAACAAATCAGACCACTCATTTACCTGAATTTTATTCAGTCTGGTTACCAGCAGCTCTGAAAAAGTGTATCCTGGCCTTTTTTGCATTTATTAGAGGCTGAATCAAAAATTGTCTAAATTGTTTTTCTGAAAATTAGTCTGCTTGGTCTTAGGAATGGCCTATAACTCTATTAATAAAGGTGGACAATCCAAGAAGTTTGAATTTCTCACCAATTTCTGGCAAACAATATTTTTTTGATGTCCAGCGGATGTCGGTGGATTTATTGGAAATCCACAACCAGAACTACTGGTTCGATGGTATCAGGCTGGGGCTTTGCAGCCTTTCTTCAGAGGCCATGCCAATAGGAACACCAAGCGTCGTGAACCCTGGCTATTTGGGGAGAAGAACACAAAGATCATCAGGGAAGCTGTTAAGGAGCGCTATTCCCTGCTTCCTTACCTTTATACGCTGTTCTATCAGGCACACAGCATGGCTGAACCAGTTATGAGGTAAGCTGGTCATTGAAAAGGTTCAATTTCTGCTTTACGCTAAACTATTTGTAACAAATATAGAGTGTATGGTTAGATACCACATAGAAATGTTAATGAAATATGTATTGAAATGCAGGCCTAGCACAGATGCTAGTTCACTACTTTAGCTGTGGTCTCTTAGGACACCATCTGTGTATCATGAGCTGGTAAAAAACAGGCCAATGGAAGGGTTACCTTGAAACTCTTTGCATTCTCTAGAATTAAATGAGGTATGAAATATAATTCCCAATCAGACTTTCAAGATCTTATTATTATAGATAATCTCAATAAAGGTAGTTTTAGTGCTTATCTGTGGTGGTGATTTCTTGGTCTGGTCTATTTAGTAGAGTTGATATCAATCTTGCAAGTCTGATTATGTTGTACTACTTCTTCTGACTTATAGTTAGGAAGGTATCTAAATTGCTTTTGAGTGTGTTCTGGACTTAATGTTTTATCCCTTGTTGCTTTGGCAACAGAGTTTGAATATATCCATCAAGATCATCTTCCTTACTCTCTATATATACAGCTTTCCAGAGTTTTGTTATAGAAAGTAGTAGCAAAAGATTTTTAAACCAACTTTCCATTTAGTGCTTTTGGGACTATTATAAATTAGCTTTGTGGGGATTGTTGGCTTTCTTTGGTCTTTGATTGGCATACCAGGGACCAAATCCTAAAAAATTGGTTGAGCCAGTCAGGGGAGAGGATAGGACCAAATCAGCTAAATCTGATTTGTTTAAATATTTCAGTTAATAAACTACCATTTACGATTCTTTCTGAGGCTTTTAATAAGTTTCTCTTTGTAGCACTTTTGTATTATAATTTTGTAATTATAATTATAAAGCTCACGCGGTATAGCAGTGATTACACACACACACACACACCAAGATATTTTAAATAGTTAAAATAGCAACTTTAATGCCCACATCCAAAGCATGAACTTAAGAAACTATAAATAGATGCAGTATAGGAGAGAAAATTATGCTCCTTAGCATTTGTATAAATAGTGAAATGCCTTTGTTTTTTATAGGCCTCTCTGGGTGGAATTTCCAAAGGAATTAGAAACTTTTGGCATTGAAGATGAGTACATGCTTGGTAAATTTAAATTATCCATAATATCTACTATTTATTCTGAAGTTACAGCATTATGTACCCCATCTATTTTTTTCTAAGTTGTTCGTTATTCCAATTTATATAGTCAATTCCATAAGAATTGGTGGAGATGCATATCATTGTATTGATTGAGGCTCCTCTGACTTGGCTGAGGTATTGCTACTTCAGCACATTTGTATTCTATATTATAGATGTCAGGTTGTTGTTTTTTTCCTGTGGTAATTACAATCAGTCTCCTTGGGTAGCAGGGTTAATTAAGGAGCATAAGACGTTCAATGATGGATACAGACCTGAGCATAAAAATCTTCCTAGGGGGGTATAGATCATACTTACAAACAATTATTTAAAATTGTGCTAATTATAGGAGAAGAAAAATGGAACAATGCATTTTTATATGTTTTTAATTTAGGAAGTGCTTTGTTGGTGCATCCAGTCGCTGCTCCAAAAATCAGTACAATCAATGTCTTTCTGCCAGGCACACAAGAGGTAAGAGAAATGGAATGAATTTCCCTCCCCACAAACACACACATATACAAACACACACACATCACATGCTGACATACACTTTACATATACACATACACTGATACTAATTAAATATATATATATAAACAAATCTTTGCATGAGATTGCTAAAATAAGAGTGCAGGGTACTATTTGTACACTGCTAATTTAATTTTCTTTACAGAAATGCCTAGTTAACCAAGTTTGGTCCAGGTACTAATGAATATATTAGTCATTGCTCCCACTCTATGGAACATCTTGTCCCCAGAGGTGAAGTGGGCATCCATTCTTCTGGCCTTCTGGAATAGCCTTAATACCTCTTTGCCAACTAACCTGGAGATCCAAGAATGATATCCCATCCTGGGATGGTTGGTGGCTTGAGGGCACTCCCTCTGCCTTTTTTAACTTTGTTGTTAACTCTGTTTTTAATTCTGTCTTATTCATTATTTTTATACATTTCTAATCTGTAAACTGCCCAATAGATAGTGAGATGGGCAGTGTATGAATTTGATAAATAAATTTCTAGATAACATATTAACTGAATTATTTATGGGACCATATTTTTTCTAGAATATTCTCAGAGATCTAGATCAGTGATGGCGAACCTTTTAGAGACCGAGTGCCCAAACTGCAACCCAAAACCCACTTATGCATCGTCGAGTGTTGGGTGGGCGTGGCCCATTGGCTGGGCATGGCCCATTGGCTGGGTGTGGCTGCGGTGGTAATGGCAGACTGGGTGGGACTAAAAAGTTCAATCAATCAATTCCAACTTTGCAAGATCTTTTTTTTCCCACGAGAAGTTGAAATTGACTGATTGATTGAACCGTGTTTTGTTTTTTGTTTTTTTGTTTTTTTGCACATGGTGGCAGAGGCCTAAAGCGAAAAGGTTTTATAAAACCCAGCTGAAGGCCTAGGACTGGGGTGACGGCGCGTGTGCCCACAGAGAGGGCTCTGAGTGCCGCCTCTGGCACCTGTGCCATAGGTTTGCCACCACTGATCTAGATACAGAATTGTGATTCCTCAGACAATGCTTTACTTGATACTTGAATAAGGTATTAACGATAGCAATCATTATAATGTCTTATACCCACCATCAGTATTGAATTGGAAATGCTTTTACAAATGCCCAATTTAAGATAAGGCTTTGATTCTTTAAAGCTATTTAGAGCTTGAACCTGCTCATTCCAGGAAATCGCTCTCACCTATTAAAAGAGACAGCAACAGAAAAGTTCAGATTCTTTTTCATGGTTACTTTTCAGGATAGGCAATTTTTTGCACTCCAGACATTGCTGGATTTCAACTTCCAAAATCTCTGGGAGCTCAATCAGACAACAGCAATAATATGTTTTCCTCCTCTATTTGAAGTGGATGGAAAATATACTAATTTGAAAAC